AGAGCTTTTGATTCACCCGACGTTTGACCGAACAAAACTCCCTACTCGCCCCACTGCCCCTCCTTACGTTGTCAACCAAGTACTTAGGCCCTCGCTGCGCAAGCAACTCCGTTTCCCCCGATTTGAATTGCCACCAAGTGGGGCACTGTCAACGAATCACGTGCACGGCTTCAACCGGGGCTGTGAAGGACGAACCACAATGAATGAACTTCAAGACCTCGGAAAAATTCGGATCTTCTACGTCGCGATGCTGGCGCATTATCAAAATGAGCACAATGAACAGCAGGACACAGCAACGACCTTCCATTCTCAAACCAATCAACTCCTCAACATCCTTTGCAAATCGGAATCGTCAGCATGGCTCCTTCACTCATCAACACTGAGCTTGACCAGTTCGTCGAAGCTGACGACTTGCGAAACGCATTTGTATTATCGCTGTCATCAATGTATAAAAAAGAGGTGCCGCTGTATGGAGACCTGATCAGGCTTGTCACCGCTGTGAATAGAGAGACGCTGGAAACCTCTGCCAATCCTAAGATAGAGGCTCTGCAGCATGGCGGTGTCGCTAAAGAGAGATTGGATATTGAAAGGCATGGCGCTATCCGTTTGGGAACTCCTCACGAGCTGCGGACAGTTAAGCGCATGTGTGCCGTCCTCGGCATGTACCCAATCGGTTACTACGATTTGTCGCCAGCAGGATTGCCGATGCACGCAACGTGCTTCCGTCCTAAGACGAAGCCTGCCCTGACGAAAAATCCATTTCGTATTTTCACCTCCCTGCTCAGACCAGAGTTGATACATGACGGAGAGGCAAAAGACATGGCGCTCGAGCTATTAAGTCGTCGGTCCATCTTCAGTGACGAGCTCATTGGGATGATTGAAGAGGCGGAAGGGCAAGGGGGTAGACTTCAGGCTCGGCATGCAGAGCCGTTCGTGCGGGAAGCAATGAAGACTTTTGGTTGGCAGCCGGTCGCCGCAGCTTCAAGAGAGGTGTATTCAAAGCTTCAAAGTGCGCATCCGATCCTGGCTGATATTGCTTGTTTCCACAGCGCTCACATCAATCATCTTACCCCAAGGACTCTTGATATATCAGTAGCGCAGCAACGAATGAAAGATGAAGGCATGGCGGCAAAGGCAAACATCGAGGGACCGCCTGCACGGTCATGTCCAATATTGCTACGCCAAACAAGCTTTCTTGCCCTGGAAGAACCAATATCATTCCTAGCATCTGATGGTTTATTGCAGTCGGGGTCGCACAAGGCTCGATTCGGCGAGATTGAGGAACGTGGTGCGGCTGTAACGCTGAAAGGGAGAATATTATATGACGCCCTGTTAGAGAAGACACAGCAAGCAATGGACGAAGATGGCAGCAAAGAGCTAGAAACCGTCCTTGCAAAGAATTTCGAGGAATTCCCCGACAATTGGATTGACCTTCGTAGGGAAGGTCTAGTGTACTTCGAATACCGGTGTTTGGAAGGAGGGTTGAAAATAAGATCCCAAAGCCATAGCATTGAGGGTCTGATCAAGGATGGTATAGTAGAGGCAACTCCAATTACGTACGAAGACTTTCTGCCCATGTCTGCTGCAGGGATTTTCCAGTCCAATCTTGGATCTCGGATGCCCCCGTCGATGCAATTCAACGGAAGGAATCTGGCTATCGGACAATCTGCCTTAGAGGCAGCTTTGGGCTCTACGATAACTGATATGCATACTCTGTATGAAGAAATACAAACCGCAAGCCTTCGAGAATGCGCCTTGGAGCTGGGATTTACAGAGGATGAGTTCATCGAGGGCTGAAGGTTGCTGTATCGTAGACAAATGCGTCCGCAGAGAGTTGAGGACCGAAATTATCACGTTTATGCGGCATTGAAAGATCCTAGATCCTCAAAAGCAAAATCTGCGGATTGAGAGTTGCGCATGCCTTGTAATAATTCCTCTACAAGCCATTCGCTTTCGTGAGGTACGTCCATGGCTTCCAGACCACCAAACCAATCGTGAGAGAAGATATCTTGGTTTGTTGCGAACCCGGCATTGTCCAAATTAGCTGCTGTAATACCATTTTCATTCGCGGACGAGGACATTTCCGTGCATATCATGTTGATGGTCTTCTGCGACAGAGTCTCAAACGTGTCGCGGTACGCAGTCGCTTGGCTCCATCTTTCTGCGATGACGACAAGCACTGTATTGCATGCCATGCAGGTATTGATAAAAATCGGATGGTCGCGAAGCATTTCGTACGCGGGAGGATTTCCATAAGCAGTAGAGGTATGTCAGACCTCCAACAAAGATGATGTGCAAAGAACCCCAGGTGAACTGAATAGTGGGACTTTGATAAAGTCGTCTGTATACGAGGCATATCTCCCTTGAACGACTTACGCATTTCTCAAAGGCACTCTCGACGCTATCTTCTTCGCCGGGCTGCGGCGGTAGAGTGATATAGTGTCGATACAAGAGCAGAATAGAATGATCATAGGCAAGCTGAAATCGGGAGCAGGATGTCGCCCCTCCAGCACCTGAATTTATCAATCTAGCCATTGTTCGAGCAGGTGCCCGCTGTTCAGATTTATCTCTCTAGCAGGGCGACTGGACGTGCAATGAGCTCTTCATTCTGAGGCACTAGGAAATGGGGAAACTTATAGCATTGAGGAAAGGGATCACTTGCGATAACAGATCAGCCTACATTGCTATAAGAGCTCTTGTCTACGGATATCCAGCCCAACGGCGCGGAATCGCTATTTCCAACAATAATTACAAGCATTACCACATTTGCAACGAGGGAATTGTCGTTTTGTGTTCGGAGTTCCGATACTAACAAAAGGAGACGCCTCTAGGACAAGTTGACTTGGGCTTTTGCAGCCCTTTCCAAGCCGAGTTCAGATTTGCAACTCGTGTGTCTGCTAGCTTAAACTTTCTTCGGGATCTTAGGCAAAATCCCCGCATTCTCAAAGCTCCTATATGTTTCGATCCAAGTCTCGTACGTGTCATCGTATCTCGTCCAACCATATTTCCGAGCCTTGTTCACGGAGCTAATGGACATCCAGGATTTTCCAACAACCCAGTCAAAGAACCACCAAGTACCCCAGTCGAACGCTTCCTTCTTTCCACCATACTTGTCGCAGATAGAGTCCCAGATAGGCTTCTTATCCTTTGCCCACTCGGTCATCGAGAACTCGTTTTCTAGGGCTTGACTCTCTCCGGTCGCTCTCGTGAAGACCGGCTCGGGAACCTATAAACAAGTGTCTCAGCTTGAGGAACAAAGTAGCGGCGAAGGAGTCCCACATCAAGGCCAAAATAACTGCCTATCTTAGGCCAGAAGTACTTCCAGACGAAGACATCCCCGTTTGTATGGTTAAAAGCTTCATTCTGACAGTTATCATGCGTCATGGTAAAGACGGTCAGATCTGCTAGACTCGGTGCGTACGAGTTGTCGTCAGGTAGGTTATATCACAACTTGTTTCCGGGAAATGCAGCCGAATCATTCATCTCTCGGCAGATTAAAAAGTAGAGGGCGGCTGTCAAGGCCTCCGACATGCCATTTTCTGCGTGCCGGGATTAGGATGCTTCTGTGAAGGGGACATCTTCTACTTACTACCGGGCGTGAAACCGATAATGGCGTTCGGGCGAATGATGTTACACGTCCACTTCTTGCCTTCTTGCAACTTGAACAAGATATCTTCTTGTTCAAAATAGAAATTTTCTCCTTTGTTATCATAGCGGGAGATCGCCTCATGACATGGTACCTCTACTGGACCTAGATGGACTCCGTAATGCTACAGTAGGGTCAGAAGCTAGGTCGTATTCAGCAAGGGATTACAAAGTACTTTGCCACCTGTCTGAAGAGAAACTCGCTCAAGATTCTGCCCAGCAACAGTGTCGATGGCAACGAGAAAGGTGCGGAACAGCGGCGTGTTCAAAACCTTCAATTCCTTGAAGTTATCTGCGTGAACGTAAGAGGTGAAAAAAGCATGCGTGACGTCGTAGCATAACGTTTTCATTCGTTTAATGACGTCCTCGACTGGAGATAAAAAATCTATAGACACGAACTCGACGCGAGGATCAACCCAGTAGCTCACAAGTGGGCTTCGAGACGATATGACAATCTTGCTCCTATATCTATCAGTCAAGCCTGCTGAGTATGAGGTGAAGAGAATGCAGCTCTTGCTGACAGCTCAAGAGAGCATGAGAATGTACACACCATTCACTACGTGGCTGACGAATCAGATGCTCGATAAGTGCGTGGCCACTGATGCCATTTGCCCCAGTTATAAGGGCTACCTTGGGAGCCATCGCTAAGCGCGTGGGTACGGGGGTTTGCTTATTCAGTCTTTGTAGTAACGATGATTATTGTCCACAACGCCAGCGTGGGAGTGGCTTAAATAATCACAGATGACGTAGGATGAGCTTATCTCCCGATCAAGTTCCGCAGCCTTTCCGCCTTCGGAGGATGCATTCCGCTGGCTCTATTAGTCATGCAAATAGCCAAAGTGCATCGCGAGGATACAACACGTATCGGACCAAAAATTTCATATTCGAAAACTGATCCACGCGTTGAAGTCACTGGACTATCTAGCTGGCAAAATTTTTGACTTAGCTACTGCTTGACCGCAATCTTAAGAGGACGCGTGTAGACAAGCATGTGGTTAATGACGGTCTCAATGGAAAGGTAGTCCACGCATTTGAGCTAATACGTGTTACGAACTTGAGAAGGGGACGTGACTTACGATAAGGAAGGAAACAAGGATGAAGCTCATTTCAACGGATCTTTAGCTCTACGTCTCACAGGCTTGGCAGGAAGTCTGTAGGACATATCACGTGCGCGTGTTTTAGTACAGTGTCTGTGCGCAATCTGAGCTAAATTAGCCGTTGAGCCACCCGAACATCCAAACAAGAAAATCGTCCCAATCTCTACACAGCACCACTCCATCCTTGTGTACCTGATTCAAGAAGCGATTGAATATCTCAAATTGCGCAAACCAAGACATAAACTCTTATACCGCGAAGTCGCAGAAAACACAGTTCAAACTTGACCGAACGACGTAGTCACGAGGCCACCACAGTGGTACACGCTCAAATGCAGCTCAAGGAGAAGCGCAGCAGCTACTCATCCCAAAACAGGAGCCGGAACTTGCAAATTACACAGGCCGCTGCAAAAGGCGAAATTTATGACCTACAAGAGAAGTGCTGCAAGATTTCCGCAGTGCGATTGCTAAGTAAGAGGTTCCCCAAAATTGGGTTACTCCGTTTCTACAGTCATTCGACAGACTTATCACCAAATGGAGCGCTGCGATCGATCGCAATAAGCAAAAAGCCGACGAAAGCAGCAATTACAGTATCATTTGGCGTAATTTATGCGAAAATGTAAGAATACAACATGGGTGAGTGCAACACATGTGATATGAACGAGAATGTCTTCTTCGTCGACAGGACAATTTGCTCAAAAAGAGTGCACCGCAGCGCTCCAAGAGGGTAAGAGGGAGCGGGTAACGCTGCTGGCTTGCGTATGCGCTTCTCGATAGGCATTATCGCCTGCACTTGTCTACTAGGGCACCTTGGGGATTCGATCGCGCTGGGTCGTTGGCGGCCTTGTGGCCGAACAACACCTAGTTTTCGTCTCTCACTCGCATTAAAGATGAACTAACAACGATGTAAGGCTTGTTTGGCTTCCAAAAGTGCCAATCACTATACTAAAGCGAAAGCGCGTATCGGATGGCGCCTTTTGATCCTTGACGGCAATGGCCTTACACCCGATTTATCGAGTTTTGCGGGCGCAATCGTATCTTAGCCCTCTCTACCCCCAACTCACAGCTTCCAACTGATCAGTGTGATGCTGTCCTCGCCGCTTTAGCGCAATTACACGATACAACTCAACCACCACTCGCAGCGATTGCAAGGCATCATAAACACTACAAAATGCGACGTTTACAGCAAATTTTGCGCGGCGTAAAGCTCTACAATAAGGCAGGATACTACACTAAAGAGGTTCCAGGCCACAGACGTTTGGCCAATGGATGTGGAGGTCGTACTGAAGCGCTTCAATACCAGCACTTCGGAGCAAGATGAGGCTTTAACAATTAGGTATTAGGTTGAAAGCAGAAGCAGCCTTTTTCTTTTTTTAATAAAAAACAAAAGAGCAGCAAGCAGAAGCTGAAAAATTGGCTCAAGAACTTGCCGCTGAGGAGCGTCGCAAGGCGAAGAAAGCGCGGGCTGAACAACTAGGCGCAACGCGACACTGTAATCACACAAAAATTTTGCGATACACCAAACAAGGGCAAGGGAGCAACCCCGCCCAGCACTGCTAAACACCCAATGAAGTGTCGTATCGTTGGAGTTTCAAACCAGGCTGACACTTGCACCGCTTACGACCGCGGTGGAACTGTAGCCTTAGGGACCGTACACACGATGACCTAGCAGTTTCGATATTCTACCATCAGACATGGTAGTATGTGCTTACTTGAGAAAGCTCAAGTACAGACTAAGATGAAGGAACATGAGACTTGGTCCCTCCCCTGCTAACAATCCCACGCCAATGTAGCCGTCACGATCTTGAGGCATCAGTAAACTACTTGCACAACCTAGCAACTCTGGCATCTTCCCCGGACCAAGCTCTGCGAATAAGCTCGCGGATCGAATCCCTTTCGAGTGCTCTTGGGTTCTCATATTGGTTGCTCATAGCAATGTCAGCAGCCCTGTTTATGTCTTCTTCTAGCATGCCTAAATCTCTAAGAGCTCGAGGCGCACCGAGCTTATCTAAGAGCGAATTTAGTGCTAGTATTGCATCGCCTTGAGAGTTAGACAGAGCTGCAGCTAGCTGGGTTATCTGCTGAGGAATGGCAGACGCATTGAAGGAGAATGGGTGTGGAAGCACAATGGTGCGTCTCGGCATGGCTTAATCCAAGTGATCTGCCAAGAGTGTGACAGAGCTTGTGGTGAAGTGCCATTGTGGAACTGCCCAAGCACATGCCGCAGAGCCACGCGCCAAAGCGTGCCTTTTTTCGAGCAGGTTTTGCGGATGGATCTGCCACGATCTGAGGCAACGATTCTGCCAATGATTTGATGCCGGCGTGTGCCCACATGGAAATGATAGGATTGCAGTTCTTTGCGTATATTGCTTCTACCGCGTGCGCCATGGCGTTGATCCCCGACACGGTGCAGGTAGATGGCGGCACACTCATGCTGAGATCCACGTCGTAGATGACGGTCGAGGGGAGTATGCTTGGGCCAGAACGGGTGGTCTTCCGTCCCTCTTGAGTCTCGCCCAGAATTGGAGTCATCTCACTCCAGGAAAATGTAGTAGGGACGGCAAGATGTGGTACGCCTGCGCAGACGGATACTGCTTTCCCTAGTCCAACTACCGAGCCTCCTCCAACTGATATAACGCAGTCGGCTGACATGATTTTGAGACATTGAACTGCGTTTTCCGTCACGACGGTTGGTGTATGCATTATCGCGCCGTTAAATGTACCCGCTAGCTTGATAGTGCTGCCGTGAAGAACCCCAGCGAGTTGGTCGGACAGATTTCTGTGTCGAGCGCTCGAAAGAAGCAGCGGAGCTGCACATTTGAGCATTTCGATCTCTGCCAGAAGCTTGTTGATTAAACCAGAGCCAAAAATCACTCTTCTTGGGCTCGCGGTATATGTGAAGGTGTCCATTATGCTGGAAGTAGGACAGTCAAAAACGACAACGTACTGTCTTGGGAAGTGAACGTTGAAATACCTGGAACGAAACGACAAGGCGTGTCTATGCTCTGCGCGATGCGTGTTGTGAATTCAGTGATAGTTTGTCATCCTCACGAGCTTCTGCAATGAACAAGCTCTATCATTATGTTCGCTTCCTGAGGGTCATTATACTCTGTTAGATTTTCTGCCTCTTACTTCCGGGTTTGATTTCTACTAGCAGTATGTCCCGTGGTTCGTCTTCTGTGCGGTCATTCCGTTCGTGAGGCGGAATCCTGCAAGATTATGTCGCGGCTTCCGTCTGTGGACACGCGTGGTAGTGATTAAGAGACTGACTAATTAATGTACTACTAGGCTTTTGCCTATGCAGATCAGTTTGCCCAGTCAGCGCTTAACGTTCCATGCTCAACAATTTCGGTTCTTGTTTTCAGGGTGCACAGGCACGTCGCCGCTACAGTGTTCGGCCTGGAATTGGTTATTACTAGTGCAATATGAGCTTCACGTGTATCCACGCTAGTCATGTGTTGTTCCTCTGCGATTTGTCGCACGTTACGGAAGCTGGGGCCATCGTTCCGCTCTACTACGCCTCGATGCATACACGCAATCCGTTTATCTTATGTGAATCGTCGCAGCTGTAAGTTCACTTAGTCTGCATGCAACTCTTACTTTCTCTGCTGGACCAACATTCAAACCAAGGCAACAAACAATGGGATCTGATTCAGCTGCGCCAGCAAGTGCTTAGTACTTTGGTTCCACTATCCCATATGCTGAACCACCCTGGGCTCAAGGCAAGCCGAGCCCCTATTACAATGATAGTCACCGACAACTTCGAAGTGCAATGCGAGACTGGGTTGAAAAGGTATGTTACTTGTGATCATGTAGCTGAGGCGATCCTTGACGAGTTGTAGGAGTTAATGCCTGTTCTCGAAGACTGCGAAGCTTCCGCACAGATACCAGATGCGATCTACCAGAAAGCTGCTGTCGCAGGCGTGCTGATGCCAGCGGCTTCTGACGCTTGGATACCTCAGGAATGGCGCGGCAAATATCCTGTCATCGAGGGCATTGCTGCGCATCAGTGGAATGGCTTTCATGACTTCATTTTACACGATGAATTCGGTCGTGTTGGAGGAATCGGATTCGAGAACGGTCTGCTCGGAGGCGCAACACTATGCCTGCCATTATCCAAAAGCACGGCTCGCAGGCCATCAAACAAGCTGTCATCCCAGTCGTGTTATCTGGTCAAGGACGTATCTCGCTTGCAATCACCGAACCAACAGCAGGCTCAGACGTACAAGGCATTCAAACAAACATTCAACCATCCCAGAAAGAAGGTTGCGTTATCATCGAAGGGTCCAAAAAATGGATCACGGGCGGCATGTATGCATCTTTCTTTCTTACCCTGGCGAAAGAGCAATCAGGCGGGTTCACCTTGATCGTGGTTCCGCTCTCAGACAGAGTTTCCAGGAGACACATAACAATGTCTGGATCAGGCACCGCCGGAGCTGCCTTTGTGGAGTTTGACCAGGCGGAAGTTCCCATCCAGATGATTGTTGGTGAGCGTGGGAACAGGCTTAAGTACACGATGTCAGGTTCTGTTCACGAACGACTCTTCATAGGAATGCAAGCATTGCGATGGTCAAGAGTGTGTCTGGAGGATGCGATTGGATATGCTTTAAAACGGGAAACGTTTGGAAAGAAGCTAGTTGACTAGCTTGTGATCTGTTATAAGGTAGCACACATGGCACGGCAGGTAGAGTCTCTTCACAGTTGGTTGGAGAGTCTGATCTACCAATCTGGAGCGCTCTCAAAACCAGATCAAGATCTCATCACGGCAGGTCCCACTGCAACCTTTAAAGCTCACGCTGGGCTGGTCCTCGAGTACATCGTGCGCGAGGCCGTACAAATCGTTGGGGAAATTGGTCTAACAAGAGGTGGTCAGGGTGAAAAACCGAGAGGATCTGGAGGGACGTAAAGGCTATCACTGTGCCAGGTGTTAGTGAGGAAATCTTGCTTGATCTTGGCATCCGACAAGCGCCGAAGGCTTACGCGTTACAGAGTAACCACAAAGCACTGCTATAGAAATCCTTCACGGAAGTTTTGAGAAGACACTCTGTCCGTGTAGGGTAATGTGCAAATGACATTGCTGAGTTTTGTCGTCATGAAAAATAGTGGTAGTGGCAGTGATATACTTAATTTGATAGCTCTCATTTGGTCACTCCCAATGCTTGTCATAACTTGCTTCAAATCGATTCACTAGAAGGTTTTACGTGAATCATAATGCAATTAGAGTAACGGTAAAATTCATCTTCCAGAAAGCGAGTGGCGTGCCTGTATGAACGGTAGCTCTCAATATCGCTGACTCCCAAGTGATCAGACTCGCCCCAGAGGCAGCTGCCGATGCGCTGATGTGCTAATTCTGAATCCTGTCTGACGAGACTGCTGATACTGATTCCGCTAGAGAAGAAAGACTTCACTACGGAACCCAAAAGCGCACGGAACTGACCTCTCGCAGAGGAATAATCAGCTGTGGCGGGGAGCAGCATGGGAACCGTTCCGGCAGCATGTTCCGCGTAGCGGGCCGACCTAGGGCGGGGAGCAGCATGGGTACCGTTCCGGCAGCATGTTCCGCGTAGCGGGCCGACCTAGGCCTATCTTAGTGATAGGCTGTAATGTCTCAATACGCTCGTATATATAGCCTTCGAACCCATATTCACCATCATTTCCTCCAATAATTTTCAGCACCTACACAACGACGCAATACCAAAGATGGGACTCGAAGGAATTTTAGTGCGTCCCTTGTCGTTGGTTTTATAATTCTAGTACTGACTAAATCACGTCAGAACAAGCGTGTGCAGTACACTTACACTCAAGGGCTGGACTGGTCCTTTGAGATATGGTATCGATCAGATGTTCGCTATCTAGCATCCTGGAAAGTCATTTCTAGAGCTAATATGGTGCATCGCAGGACCGTGTAGTCTACCGCGTACGCACTGGCCCATTGGAAGGGCGTGTAAACTACGTTCGTGCCTGGTATCAGGAGATCATTTTGGAGCGTCTCTACAAGGTCTCGTGTCTGGAAGGTGTGTTTCGCAGCGCTGATTGGTCTTTCGCTGCACAGGGCGCTGACTCTCGCAGAAACCGGTACTGTTGTGTCTCAGACGATTGATCTTGAAGAGAAGAAGATTTGGACCTTCGCGGCTTTTTCGAAGGGTCACCATGTATGTGATGATGGTTCTTTCCTTCCATTTGTCGCATTGACAGGCATTGTAGGAGAACCGCGAAATGCTTCGTCACCCAAAGATGACACACCTCGACTCATGGAGAGAGCTTGCCAAGATTGGCATCCAGACGGACAGACATTGCGTGCCACATGAAGGGGTTATTACTCAGGTTTTGGAAGGTCCTGGATCTGATCTTCCTGTCATTGAGGACAGCTGGCCCGTCTTATAACCGACGATTGTCTGATCGGTCACCTAGGTGACCACCGATCCTCAGAAGTGAAGAATAGACTACCTCGGCCAATTGATATACAAACCGTTCTACTTGCATCGTTCACAATTCGACTCTGATAGACAGTCGTAGGTTCCTGCCACGTCCTTGCGTGCTGTAATCAAGGCTACTCGTGTGCATGTTTCATAGGGTTGAAAAGTCATCTTTATTCGTGTCTGCGATAGAAATTGTCACCATTATCGAGGCCCGGTGATCATAACAGAAATCGGGCCGATGTGGTGTTGATGATTATGGCTATGTGAATTGTCGATCGGGTACCACCCCTCCTCAAAGGAAGTTAAACAGCCCCTAGGTGACTGTATTTGGGCTATCACTGTTCGATTTCTTTTGCAGAGAAGGTGGCTCTGTTGGAGAGAGCGAATATCAACAGTACGTGAACGGGAGAGCGAATCCCGAGTGAGAAACTAGCTGACGAAGGAAAGTGGCTGCCTGCGCGGACTGATGTCGAAGCTACTACAGAAAGGTTCAGTCCAAGCAATGACTACCATTCCAAACTTACCCGAGTCGGTGTCACATTCTGCACTGCACGAAAAAGCTGTAAAACCAGACCAAAGTAGTCTAAGGGACATCCCGATCGATGGAGCACGGCCGCTTCGAGTGATAGTGATCGGGGCTGGCTTCTCCGGGATCAATTGCGGAATCCGAATCCCTCAACGACTACGTCATGTTAACCTTACCGTCTATGAGAAAAATGCGGATGTCGGGGGCACTTGGTACGAAAATCGATATCCCGGCTGCGCTTGCGATGTTCCTGGTGCGTAGATCAAAAAGCTGCTGTATGCTCAAGCCTTTCGCAGATTGCTAATCAACAGGACAGCCCACTCGTACCAATTTTCATACGCTCCCAACCACCGCTGGAGCGCTTTCTAAGCTTCCGGTTATGAGATTGAAGATGATTTGAGGAATGTTGCTTGGCGCTTCTCCGCGGCACGCTTCATCAAATGCAATCACAGCGTGAAGGCGTGTGAATGGGACGAACTAAGTTTGAAATGGTCAGTGAGGCCAGCAAGATTGAAAAAATTGCCATAGCACCGGCATGGTGATATCCGCGCAGGCGTGTTCAGGTCGAGGATCAGATCAACAGCCGATTGCTCGAAGATGAGGCTGATGTTATTATATCCGCTCGCGGAACTCTAAACGATTACAAGTGGCCCGATATCCCTGGGCTCCACAGCTTCAGTGGCGATTTGATGCATTCGGCTGCTTGGGATCCAAATTGAGTACACCCTCGACATGGTTGTGATGTCCTGTCTCACCTGTGTACAGTGTTCCGCTCGAAGGCAAGACCATTGGGGTTATTGACGCAGGAAGTAGTGCGATGCAAATTATTCCACAGCTACAAGCATTGCCATCAGCTCAACTAAAAGGCTTTATCCGAAGCAAGACCTGTATCTTGCCGCCTTTCGGTGCCCAATCTATGGAAAAGCTCGGCATGGACGAAGTGAACAGTAAGTAAGCACACAATCAAAGATCCCCGAAGGTGACTAACGATACGACCTGCATAGTCCCGCAGGAGCAACAAGACCGGTTTGAAAGACATCAAGAGGAATACCATGCGTTCCGGAAGAGAATCGAACAAGACGGCAATGGGGTCCATTCCATTACGCACAAGTCATCGGGAGCGCAGAACCATTTGCGACGCCCATGCCAGCTCACAATGACTGATGCTCTTGCTGGACGACCTGACATTGCAGAGGCTGTTATACCACGATTTGCAGTGGGCTGCAGAAGGCTGACTCCCGGTATTGGTTTTCTAGAAGCTCTGAACATGCCTAATGTGGAGTTCGTCGGCACTCATATCGCCAAGGTGGTCCCGTCGGGAATCGTTCTCGAAGACCAGAGGAATATTCAGCTGGATGTTTTGGTGTGCGCTACTGGGTTCAATGCAGCGCACGCGCCCCCTTTCCCGGTCAAAGGATCCCAAGGAAGAGATATGGCCGACAGCTTTAAGCCTTATCCCAAGTCATATCTCAGCATGACTATGCATGGCTTCCCGAACTACTTCATGATACTGGGTCCGAATTCATTGATAGGAACAGGTAGTCTCAGTATGAGGTTGGAATCCCAAACGGACTACATCGTTAAATGCATTCGAAAGATGCAACGCGACAATATCGCCTCGATGGACGTGAAAGCCGACAGAGTCGAACAATTCTCACAGTACATCGACAAGTACTTCAAGCAGACAGTGTGTCTCGACGGGTGCACGAGCTGGTATCTTAACGAAGCTGGTAAAGGTTCTCGCGTCATTGGGCTCTGGCCTGGCAGTTGTCTCCATGCGATGGAAGCTTATCGAGCGCCACGGTGGGAAGACTTTGACTTTGTACACAGCAAAGACGAGGACGGACGTGTATTCAAAGAGCTTAGTTGGCTTGGTAATAGTTATACGCATGCTCAGCGCTTCGGAGACGGGGACCTAGCCTGGTATTTAGAGACAGAGTTTTTGGATGTACCATCCGAGCCGTTGCCTGAGAAAAAGAAGGCCAACACTTTAAGAACCTTTTGCTATTAGATGTAATCCAGATCCTATCTGCACTGCCGCGCTCACTCAATTCTATGGGAGACTGTATTCAACTTTTGCTTGACAAAGCATTCATGCCCTTATTGACGTCTGTGACACGAAGTGCCGCACTGGTGAAGGCCGAGCTGGGTGTGGTCGACTGTTCGTCCAGCTTGCACTTTGACCAAACGGCCGCTCTCTAGTCAATAATACCTTGGCATTGGCATCGAAAGCTACTTTTTCGTCCTCATGATGCTACGGCATTTTGCTGACTAAATGGAGTAACTTCGACCAAGTAGTCATTTCCTCATCGTTCGCAGACACGCCCTGTGCCAGATCTTCACTCTTCCTTTCTTTTTACAATTCTATTTATCCTTTGTATCGGTGGGGTAAATCGCTTTTGTTTTGTTGACGAGTAAAAATTCGTCTAAAAATTACGTGTTCTTTTCGCAATTCCTAACGATCGTGCCCCCGCCGGTGTAGCGGTTATGCCTTCATTCCCGAATCATCCGGATCACTAACGCCTTTACTTGTTACCGAATAAGAAATTTTTGACTTAATGAACTAAATTATATCGAAACCAGCTCTTGGTCCAAACACTGCTTACTTAGTCAAGAAGCCCTTATAAATGGAGTCAATCTGACCAGAAATCGTGTTTGACAAACGGATGATGACAGGAACGCACAATCCTGTCGGTATCACTTCGTGGGCAATACACTCCGCACCACAACATAGCATGACACCTGATATGAGCTTACATACACTCGGCAGGATGCATAGATGACGTGAAGTGCTAGCTCGCTCGGGAATGGAGCATAGGAATGTGTTTCTTAGCGGAAAGGCGCCCTGTTTCCGCCCTTTCAACTGCGGAAAGCCGAGTGCAGGGTTCAACACGGAATCACAAATGTTTCCTCTGCATTCATTCTTAATATTGAACGGACCTTCAATCAAACGAGCAACACATGAGCGCAATCATCTTATAACCAGTTTCCTAAGGATTAAGCACAATTTCCTACAACATGTCACTGCCAGGTGCTGCCCCCGACCTTACTAAGCTCGATTTGCCTCGCGTACCCCCTCGATATAAATTCACAACCGAGTTTCTGTTCAACTTTACCATGCGGTTGCATCCCGAGCAGCCCCCGATGGTCCTCGGCGAAGCGGGGAAGGGATTCATGATGGTGATCTCAGAGCAAGGAACGCAAATTTCTGGGCCCAAGATCAACGGCTGCGTGGCAGCGTACGGCCAAGATTATGTAACAATCCGGCAAGATGGTGTCGGCGAGCATATAGTACGGCCCGTAATGCTTACCGATGACGGTATCTGAATCAAGTTTTGTTACGAAGGATGTAGTGATTGGGGAGGCGATGGGTATGCCAAAGCAGCAGCTGGTGAGATGCCTTCTGGTTCGCGGATTCGATATGCACCGTATATACAGACATCCCACAAGGATTATCTCTGGGTCAATAGACTGCAATGTATCGAGGTCGGGGAGATTTATCCGGAAGAAAGCTACGCTTGCTTCGATGTGTATTCGTTGATCTAGCGATCATGGAAGAACTTGTGGAACTTTCGCGTCTCCCAAAATGAACTTGGCTGGACCACCTCCCTGTCAAAGTTTTCCAAATTTAAAGTACTAGATGCTATGCAAACTTTTGCATCCTTCGATGCCGTCTATACACAAAGAAATGATATCTCTGCCACTCACTCGGTTATGCACTCTTTATCAGAAATTTTGGCAAGAATGAAACCCCGAGTCTTCACTTACACCACTCACGTGAAGTTCCAGTGTCATTGTACCCATGCTGTGTTGTTATTCAGACGCTTACCCTTCACAAATGGAGAACATAGACAACCCTGCTCGAAGAATGACGTTGCATTCCACGAGGCAAGTTAATGCGAGTGCAAAGGTAAGGTATATGATGCTCACAACCCCTCTTGTGGCATGATAACCGCTTTGATAGCTGAGACAGAAGTAACCACGGAGAATGCTTCCTGCACTTGATCGAGCCGGAAGCGGTGTGTAACACAATCAGCGAGAGGAAACAAGCAACAGTTGGTTTCCACAATCCGTGCTGCCTCGTAGTAGTTTTCTGGAGATTCGTAGGTTATCCCGATGATCTTAAGTGCTTTTCGTACTACATCGAACGGCAACAAGGGCACATTACCAGAACCAGCCCAAGTTCCGACAAGAAGATACCGGGCGTTGTGTGCCAGCAAAGTTAGACCTTCTTCAACAACTGCGGCCCTGCCACTATACTCAATTGCAAGCGAAAATCCTTGCGCGCCTAAGAGACTTGCGATGCGCTCTGCTCATTGACCAGCGGTCCCATAGTCCTTAGAGTGAATATCCAGAACTTCGTCGGCTCCAAAACGCTCTGCCATCTCCATGCGAGACTGATTGCCGTCAACACAAATCACCGTCTTCGCTCCCGCCAGGCGTGCAAGCATGATAGAAGCCAGTCCTACAGCGCCGCAACCTTGGACTAGCACGTTGGATCCGCGCTGAATGGGACCGAGATTCTCCAGGCCCTTGAGCATAGTTGGCAAAGCACATCCGAGTGCAATGAATGCATCCAGAGGAACATCAGACCTGACCTTGTAGAAGGCGTTCGTTTTATGCAGCGTGGCAATCTAAGCATAGCTTGCCCACGTCACGGAACCAGTGGCGGCTGAGAATAATGTTCCATTCTTGCATCCTGTCAAATCCCGTTCAATCGTACATTCGTAGCAAGAATGGCAGGGGCGGATGGGGTTCCAATAGACCGCATCGCCAGGCGAGACTTCTATACCAGCATGATCGGTGGTTACGCCCTCGCCAAGGTGAACAATCGTACCGACCCCTTTGTGGCCGAGGATGAATGGCTCCAGATAGACGTCTTGTTCTTCCCATAGATGGATGTCGGTTCCGCAGACACCTGCACGCTGAACTTCAACGTTGACACAGCCTGGAGCTGGAGGCGGAACTCGCTTTTCCCACAGTTCTATAGGTTTCTGAGGTCCCACGACCACTGCGCACTTCATGATGGACAAGATAGTTTCTGTACGTTGATGTCGAACGTGAAATCAAAAAAAGAAGCTTCGCAAGAACATGATTTAAGTGTTATCCTTTATCTAGTCGTCTCCGTTCTAGGAGCATGTCCGTGATTGAGCAGGTTCCGCTGACGGAAACGACCTGCATAAAATTCCGTCGAGTTTTTCTCTCAAAACAAACCAACATGTGCCCTGCCCGCCGACACACCAGTTGATACTCACACAACGTGATAATGTGTACCGAAATGGAAGAACCACACGATGATGCCGTCTGTATTCGACGCCGACATACTGTGCCCGCATCGTGGCCTCGTCATAGCTCTACAGTCACCTCTCCCGATGCTAGTTTGCTTATCATCGTTGATGAATATTCATCTATGGAGCAGCGGGACTCAGACTACGTCGTGGTCTTGACACACGGGACGTCATTCAGCAAAGACTTTTGGAAACCGATTATCGAGTTTTGGTTTCGACCGAATAGCGGCATGCGCGCCTCGAAGGTCCTCGCGCTCGACGCAGTAAACCATGGCGACAGTGCCCTTGCGAACAAACAATACCTGGGAGAACAAGGTCCGTACACTCTCTGACCGTCTAAGTTTATGGCATGCAAGCTGACAGATAGCTGTGTAGTACATTGGCCGGACTGCTCTCGCGACATTCTCCAAGTGCTTTCGTACTTTGGCATAACCCAGAACGTCATTGGTGTTGGCCATTCATTCAGAGGAGGAATACTGTGAGTAACTTATAAGACGCAGAACGCCAGTAGCAGGCTAACAGTTGAATCGTGCTCACGCCTTGACCATGGCACCAGACTTGTTCGCTCAAGTTATCCTGGTTGAACCTATCCTATTCCAGATGGATGAGCAGACCGAGCAGATTGCAAGATTAGCCATGAAGCGAAGAGATTCCTGGGCAAGCCTGTGAGTTACTGGTATCAAATCAGTTTTGCTTCTTCTAAAGTCAATACTGACCCGACTGTCGCTCAGGAGCGATGTCGTCAAATTCTTCAAAACTAGCAGGTCTTTGTCCACGTGGGATGAAGGTCAAATCGAGCGCTATGCGGTAAGTTGGAAGTCGTGGAAGATTATCCCGTCAGGTAAACGGGATATCGTGTGTACTTTTGTCAAGACTGACCTCAGCTTAGCAAGTCGGAACGTATGAAGTCGTTCTGAATGGTCACAAATCTTATCTTTTGAAGACTTCCAAAAATCAAGAAGCAGTAAGGATCAAGATCAAGAGATTTGAGCCTAGCTAATACCTTACATGCAACGTACCTTGCGAAGCCTTTCCCTCACATCCTCGAGAGTCTGCAAGAGTGCAAGGTCACTCAAAGCTTTATACTTGGACGCAACAGCATCGTTCTGTAAGTTCGAAGAGCAGAGAAAAGTTTTTTCTACAGCATGAGCTTATACATGATCAAGAAACCAGAACCATCGAGCACGGTTGATGCAAATGACTACAGGAGACTTCTTCATTTTGGAAGATGTTGGCCATCTGGTGCGACTAATCCAGATAAGCTCTCGTTGTTCAAACAGTTGCTAACTGATTTCCAGATACCAATGGAGAATCCTCATAGACTAGGTAGGAGGGCTGCGGACAGTATTGGGTGTTGACTGACAATACCCAGGACTACTCTTGGAGTCTCAATTGTCCAAATTTGACAGACGGAACCACCATTGTGAGAGGACAGAACCCAGTCGCTTATGAATACATTACGGAGGACGCTTTCAAATGTCATTGCGCCCACCCCAGCCCTGTCGACCGATTAGACAGCCAATCGGACCGAATATTTCTTAGATTACTACTACTTGGCACCCACTAGTGTTTTTGGTGAGCTGTCCACCTGTCGTGAGGTTGTATACAGCCCAATATACTCAGATTTTTGGTGTTTACATATCATCTTCTCGTAACTATACTGATGTGGGCACTGGAGCCTTAGTAGTGCTAAAATCTCCCACTGTAGGCAAGTCTACTGCTGAGACTAGTGCACTTACTGGTGTCCTCTCTCAGAAAATCTAAACAATTAACTGTCGAGCCTGCGAGCGAGGCTATAATCTGACACCTGTACAGGAAACAAGTCGCGCCAGCAGAATCGGAAGCCATCTTGCTCTCACATACTGGTGTCAAAGACGCTGACGTCAAAGACCAGTATGTCGACGAGAGGGCTTCGGATGTCCCCGTAGAATTCATCACAACCGATATTACTGGAAATAGACTGCAGTCGCTTGTCGAAGAGCTGCATAAACTTGTCGACAGCAAAGTCGCTAGATACAAATGCCTCACGGGAGGGCTTTTCATAATTGATGAGATTCCAAGGAAGTATCACACACGAATCACTTCGATGCTAGTTCGTCACAACTGCGATGTGGAAGCTGACATAGCGTTGCAGTGCCTCAGGAAAGATCTTGCGACGAATGCTGCCAGTAATGCCTGCATCGGCAGAAGTCGGGAGTGACAGGAAGGTTAGGTTGTAAATTGTATGGTTTCTACAAGCGTTCAGTCTGGAAATTTGTGGCGGCAGCAGAAAAGGTAAGCAGGCAATTTCGCTCCGATACACTATCTGAGCAATTTGATTGGTTTATGCGTGTTGGCTATCCACAAGATTCTGCGATGGTTTGAGGATCATACTTATGGGATACAGGCTCGAGGTTTAGCATGCTACAACAACAGTAATCACGGATAGCCGAATTCAGGAGTTAAGACTATGAAGCCAGGCGCGGCTCAGATTTGATAGTGTAGTTCAGCCACGAAGCAAGGGACAGCCTTGATTTCTGAGGCTGTGTCTCCGTCCTGATGTGTTTCGTGTGACTCAATTATGCAGTCTCGTATTCCACAGTATTGAAATTGAAGATTGCATCGCCAAGGAGGTCTGGAGGTGCACCATGTACTGCACTCAAAGTCCAATCTGTAGATTGTAAGGTCTGATTCCACGATCCGATGTTTTGATCAAAAGCGGACCCGATATCCACTTCGAAATCGAAGTCAGACACCACTAGCGGTACAGTGTTCTCACGGTCGTCGGACCATTGGTATGTCCCCGATGTGCTCTCGATATCAGGCATGAGGCTGGAGGCAGTATTCTGGGGGCCTTGGTTACCGAGTGCACTATTCTCCTTCCAAGAACTTTGCTGGCCTAAACTATCGCTATTCCGTTGATGAATCTGTTGACTGTGAGACCCACCGAAATGTGACTGACTTCTATAATTTGTTGCACAAGACGAGCCCTCTTCGACAGGTCTGACACTTCCATTCACGGTGCTGCCTGTTGATGGTTGCCAGGACTCTGGGGTCGGTAGAACGCTGTCTGCGAGCGCAATGCCAGGTTTTGTTTCCATGCGAGTGTCAAACACTTTTCTAGCTAAGGTTCGCAATCGCTCAACCGTCCGTGCTGTTCTCCCAGAGACCCAGATCTTTTGACAGAATGTCTGAATCATCCCGATGGCAGATGCAACCAACTGACCATAGTGCTGCTGTCTGAAAAAAGGCTTGCTTGCCACTATGCTAAGCACGATGGACGTGGCGCCTATCAAGTAATGGGCGAAAGGAAAATGATACAGCTGGTATGAATCCATCACCTGTGCGAAGATCTCGATAATAGAACTGGCCAGTGAGATGGCGGTAGCGGAGATATCACCGTTCGCCATCCAGCATCTTGAGTCTTTTCGTGGCTGTAGTGGCCTCAGCATCAATATTCGCAGCCATATGATACGCTATTTCGCACGGGTATCTCTGTCAGCTCGTCTAAACAACTTCAAGCACCCCAACATACAAATTGGGAACGTACCACAAGAATGAGAATCCGCTGCCTACTTTGCCATGGCTGGTCACCTTGCTTGGCTTCACGCAAGCTTTCAACATCACATGCGAGTGTTGGAGGAAGTGTGCTGGACCAGGCAAGGAGTCGTGCCTCGAACTCGGCGAGATGCATGTTGTTACCGAACTTCTTCGTGTCCCCGACATCGTATACTGCGTCACATATCTTTCCAACAAGGTGCGAATAACCGGTCATGACCCGCAAGTAGCTAATGGGCGTAGTCTCGGCGGACTGTGCTGCCTTGAGCGCGTCGCGCATCATTTTCATTGGCTGCTCAGAGGTCTTCTGCTCTTCCATCCAGTCGGTGTGAAGGTCGTGAGGCAGATCGGTATCTACATGGTAGTCGTGAATCAACAATGGCCGCCCAATATCAAGTGCGAGCCGCCGGTCCAAGATGTAAATGGTGTGCCAAACGCGCCTCGCAAGCTCGGATCTGAAGACTGGCATGTTTTCAACGACGGTCTCGCGGTGAATGCCTAAGGTGTGTGCCTGTTGTACGGCCAATCCGACTATCTTGTGGGCAAGCTCATATGCATCGAGACGTATCAAGTACCATGCCTACAGAGACCACAGTCAGTAGGCTAATTCTTCATCAAGTGGTTGGTAGACACATCGATTCTTAAAGTCACGGAGACGCTAGGTTTGTAAAAAGACGCACTGTTGCTTACCATGCAAGTCAAGGTCTGCAGCCGCTCGACTGTCACGTCCGCGTCACGAATCGGGTCAAACAGGGGGCCGACACTCTCAGCTGCAGCAGTGTAAAACTTCCAGCCGCTGGAGCGAAATCCTTCCAATGTAGAAGTCCGCGCCGAATGTGTGCAGCGTCCAAGAGCAAGACAGATCAGCACATGTGCAAGTTCGTCTGCACTAGGTACCACTGTGTCTGCTCGCTCGTAAAGTTGTCTTCGAAAAAGTGTCCAAATGCCTGAGTAGATCGCTTCAAGAGATGGAAGGTGGAAGAATGGGAATAACGGATAGACATGTTCGCAGAAATTGCTGAACATTTCATCCCACTCGTTCTCGTCTGGGGCAAGGTCATGACGCTGAAAAAGCCTCATCATTCGTAACCGAGTGTTGGATGGCGCGGATGCTCTAGAACGACTTCTGTCTGTGTTTAAAGAGTCTTCTTTGGTATCCGCCGCCTTTCTCGAACTTTGTGATGACAGCGGATCCGTTTCAAGGCCTAGCTCAACCTGTTGCAGGGTCTGGTCGATGGAAGTTTCTCCTAGCGTCCGGGCGTAGTTGCCTGATGTCCCATCGACATCGGGTTCGGCCTCTTGAATACCCGGGCTAGGTGTATGATGATGTTGATCAATGTACGCGTTTCCAAGAACATTTTCAGCCGGGACAGGCGGCTCTAGGGCACCATGCGCATGATGTGTAGGTGACTCAAGAGTTTCTTGGATGACCAAGTCTGGACATGGAGGCGTACTGGAGGCGATGGGTTGATGATCAGGGTTACCATGCATAATGTCCACACAGGCACCGGTCGACCTTCCAGCTCGGACGACTTTGTTGTCTCTGTCTGCAGAGTGTCTAATGCTCGGCTTTAGATTGGATCGATCACAGCGCAGCCGCCTCGCTTGACAATGTCCGCAAGGATGCTCGCCGTCGCACTACAACATAGTTGGCAACTCTCCTATACATTTTGGTCAGACAGTGGTGGACTCGACTTACCTTGATCTTGCGCTTTTGACAGAAGTGACTATAGCGAGGCCATCAGCTGGATGGTCATGGCTGTGGGAGGCACCGCTCACGCGGTGGACCACGGCGCGAACAATAGAGGGTACTCACCATGCACTGGGTGCATATTTGGAGCGTTTTGATCGTGTTATCGATCGGGACTGGCGCGAACAAGAGTGAGGCTGTGCGGTGGGAGACGGTTGTGGAGTGTTCAGGGAGGCCATAACTGCTAGGAGGTGGAGCTTCGTCGAATCACTGATTTCGGGAGTGGGAAGGTACATACTTAGTTGAACGAGCTTCTGCGGCCAGACTGGTGTCCAGAGTAACTTGCCAGCTACCCCTCAGTCGGGCTTATTTCGTCGGCCCGAAGCCTAGGACATCAACGCCGCCTTATGGATAGGTCGCCTTAACTATCCTTAGTAGTCACCTAAACCCCGCACACAACCCATCTCAGGGCGCAAAGGTTATTCGACCACGCGATAAGACGTTAAACGACCACGTGGTAAGCAGCGGTCGGCATTAGTGGCGCGCCATCGCAACTGTATAGAGTTAGCACTATAATAAGATAGCTGTAACGGGCCGAACGCCCTTTGGATGAGATCCTCGATGGAATCTTGGTTGACTCGTGAGAGCCTAGGTACTACGCTGAGCACCTAGGCTCCTACTAACTGCTTGACTGGTCCCAAAAGCTGTAGAACCACAAACGTGGTTCATAAGCGAGTGCGCTGCCCCGCATGCGCCTCGTGATTGAGGATTCGCGATATCAGCATCGCTGCTTAGGGTTAGGTTGAAGTGCAAGCTTCTCTCCCATAATGGTGTGGATTGCACTAAAGGCTCAGCTGGCCAGCTAATGGCATATAAAGATCATGTCCTCTCAAGACGCCTCAGCCTCTTTAGTATCATGGATATTCATCATGTTGAATCTTAGTAGTTTTATCGTCTTTTTTTCCTTTATATCATCTTGTGTTCCTCAGAAGGACCCATTGAAGGACTTCTGTTGCATACACGGACATCAAACTACGATAGTCGACCGCCGGCTCTACATAGACGGAGGTCTGATCAATTGGTCGCCTCTCTCAGCAGAATCGATCAACTATACAAGTATGATGCCTGTCAAAGAATTGTACATATGTATTACGTCTTCCCTTACTTATCGCTTCTAGGTGCATGGCTGAGATACGGTGACCTCGATGTAGATAATGAAGGCCTCCCTCAGCAGTACCTCCTAACAAAGAACGAGCCAGTCTCTTCTGTCCAAGGTGGCATACTCTGGCCGGATACCTCGAATAAGGTTGTGTATCTGTACGGCGGCGAGTATGGCAATGATAAGCCTGAAGACTTTATCTTGTGGTATTATGATATCATTTACGATACCTGGAATAGGTCCGATGTGAGAAACGACAGATATACGGCGAGCTTCTTGGGGTATGTCTCTTTTCTACATGTGTATTGCCGAGTGCTGATGACAGAAGGCGCTGGTGTCACAGTGCAGGACAAAGCGAGAAGCTATTATTATGGAGGTTGGTTGACTAACTCTTCTGTCCCTGGATACCAACCTCGCACGGCTCTGAGAAACATGCTGGTCTATGACATGCTCGCGAATTCATTCAAGAACCAATCTGGGCCTGACATAATTCCACGCGCTGAAGGTGTAATGATATATCTACCTGCCGGGGATAGTGGGTTGTTGGTATATTTTGGGGGTATTCAGTTCCCCTACAGCAACGGAACAGCAGAAGCGGTGGGTTCCTTATCCATCAAGCTGCTTTTACGATCACTAATAGGCGCAGCTTCCAATGAATGTACGTCCAAAATAACCTGGAACATCTTTGTTACTTAGGTCTCTCACAGGATATCCTTGTGTACGATATTGGAAATGATCTCTGGTACAAGCAGAAGGCGAGTGGAGTAAGAGTGCCTGAGAATCGGCGAAGATTTTGTGCAGGAGCCGCATGGGCGGATGACCGATCATCTTACAATATATCTGTGGACTTATCGTGTTCTGTAGAAGTATCGCTGATCAGGTCTTAGCTATCTTTACGGCGGTGTATCAGTCGGTGATGGGGTTGGTTTCGGAGACGTATGGATATTGAGCCTCCCGTCCTTCACGTGAATCAAGGTGAGAAAAAATTTCTTCCCAAGGACTACGGCAAAATAAGTGCAGGGACAATTGCTAACTATAGGGAAAGTTCTGGCCCAGAGAAGAAGACGGTGTCGGCGCAACCTTTCCCCACCATTCACTCACATGCGACGTTATCGAGAACTCGCAAATGATCATCATGGGTGGCTCATTTCCCAATATGTCTGCCGAATGCGACGTCCCGGATGTTTACGGACAACATGGTCTGGATCTAGGCAAGGCGAATGCTGATGGAGCGAAATGGGCGTTGTTCAATCCGAATGTGACGCGGTACAAGGTACCTTTGGAGATAGCCCAGACAATAGGGGCGGTGCCACAGGCGGTGCAACTGTGCTCGCTCCGAAAAGTGGATGGGAGGAGAGGGACTTACAGGTACAGTTTCAGCGAGCTTACACGCCGACGAGCAGGACACCCACAAGATACATCCCCACATCAGTGGAGACTTCAACATCAACTTTATCTCCAATTACACCAGGAGGCTCAAGAAAGAACGTTGTTATTGCTGGAGCTGTAGGTGGAGGCGTGGGAGGCTTGTTGCTGGTGATCGCCACAGTCGGCATCTGCTTTTGCTTCCGTCGCCGGAAGAGAATCAAGGAAGGCGAGAGGCACAGTCACTCGGGGCCCCCATCGCAATCGATGGCCCAAATTACTTCTCCAACACCGGCACAGCAGTGCTCATTCCCCTCCCCCGGACTCGCACAGCATACCAATACGCCCCAAAACTCACCGTCGCCGCCCTCGTACCGCCCGTGGTCTGACTACGCACCAAGCTGTCCGACCCTATCAGCAGTTGCCGCGCCACAGGAGGTGTTTACCGTACCGTCTCCACCATTGCAGGAGATGCCTAATGTGAGATCGCCGATAAGCTTCGGTACTCAGCAACAATCAGGAGAACCTTGTACTATAGGCATCGATCCGTATTTCGCACAGCATCCACCTAAGGCAGCTGAGACAGATGGATCGTCAAGATTAGCTGAAGCGTGATGTTCTGACGTTGACCAAACTATAGTGTAGTATGCCTTTCAGCATCAAAGTTTATCTCTAATATTAGTGTAAGCAGTTGAGTGTGTAAGAAGTATTGTCTTCCCATATGTATGATCTTAGGAGCAAGTTTAAATACAGTGTTATTAGTCAGTGGACAACCACGTGACTATACATGGTACTTCTGGGCTTACAATTAGAAAGAAATCAGTATATCTATAAGTCTAACATATAGTTCTTCGATAGAAATCTTATTTCTTATAACTTGAGAGATTTCCTTTATTTACTATTAAAGCTATATCCTAGTACTAGATTAACTAAAAGGCTAAGTAGATATTCATCTGTAAATATTATATTCTATAGTATGGAGCAATACTGTAGATGAATATATTAGATAAAAGTGATATAAGTAAACTAAGTATAGATGATATTTTGAATCATGCCTTATGTTAGCTAGGAGTTGTATTAACAACATTTAGTTGGTGCCTAATCTAAGGTAATCTTGTTGTTCATCCAACATGTATCTAACACGCACATCAAATTTCTTTCCCTGTTCACCCTCAAAATCTCTCAAACGCTTCTGAGTTTCATCATCGAATCCATTGAGTAATGTCGGAATTGCACTCTCCTTCCATACTGGCAACTTCAAGCGTGAGGACTCAAATATGATGAGGATCACGTACAGGGTACCAAATACGAGGATAGTTGCTGGGAAAGCCATATATGCCCAGTCCACATGCACATGTATAACCCACTCCTTGACGGTGCCGTTATGTCTTTTGGGCGACGTGTTTCGAATCTGGTTCGTCAGGCTACTGGCTACGTTTTGGAATGTTTTATTGAGGCTCTCGGAATCCCACAGAGCGTCGACAAAAGGCGGTGAATCTGGGTATGGAAATACAATGAGCGATGCTGGCGTTTTACTATCTCGCCGAGTATAACTGGTGAAAGCTTTCAAGTAGTCAATCGTGCTCCTGATCATTGTATGTGATATATTGACATGCTGGACATCAGTTGCGATGCCTTGGTCCTGCGGGATATCCAACAAAAGGTCATGCCTTTCAAGATTAACTGAAGGGTTATACAGATCATATCCGTCAGCATCAATGTCGTCTTCTTGGCCTGGTTTGAGGGGTCGTATTATCTTGTTGGAGTCAGGGTTTTTGATAGCCCATGATGTTACAACGTGCTCGTGAAGTATGCTGTTCTCACTCTTTGTCTGATATGCGTTTGCACAAAGGTATAGTGCGCACTCGGTTGCAACAGGGTGTGACGATTCCCAGGATACCTTGGCACTGAGCCATTCTTCCGGAGCCTTGATCACCTGGAACGCCATCAAGAGAGTTTGCAAACTTTTGTAACGAAGGGAATGACGGGCGTTGTAAAGAATCTTCACTGTCATGAATGTTCGCGATGTCGTTGCTGCTGTCGCGTATTTGTACCAGTCTCCGTCCTTCACATCTATCCCTAAATTCCAGTTCCTGATTTCTGACTCTGGTAGAGAAAATACGGAGTACGGGGCCTCTATGTCTATGTTGTTAGGCATAGGAACGTTGGTCCCATTTTTTCCAGTTTTTGACGTAAAGGTAAGCGCCGAAGAAACGTCCTGGCATGAGCTGCAGACAGCTGCAGAGACAAAGATTGGCCAGGTGCAATTACCTGTTGGACATGTGAAAGCCACAGGGATCGGAGTGGCGTCCTGGAATCCGCTGTAGATGGAGCTTACAATTCCAAAGTCTGGTCGACTCTGGCTGGCAGTGTATGAAACCATTCCTGATGACGTGTTTTCCCACCCTATAGGACCAGCTGAGAATTCTATGATAGATCCACCTTCCATTTTCAATGTTTGCCCTATTGTAGCAGCGGGATTTGCGCTTGCGTTGTCAAGTTGTCCATAGGTGGATAGGATGGCTTGGAGAAAAGGATCGAACGCAACCGTACCGACTGTCATCAGAGCACCAAGTGCGGCCCAATGTCTGTTAACATGTTAGCCCCAAAATCTTAGATATCAGCCGAAATTCAATTACCGGAAGCGAAGCCAGAACAATAATTTGCTGCTTCCCCACGGCCCCCGACTTGCTCCATCAAATCTTTCAAAGCTACGAATCGTGTCTGGCTTCCTATAAAGCCAATTCCACTTCTGCTGTCCTATACAGGCGCTCAAAGCAAATGCCAGAGTGGTTCTTGAAGTCGTGCCCAGGGTTGAAATGACCGTGTTAAGCGTCAATGCAAATCGCCAGTCCGTAATCGGTTTCTTGTTTTGGCGAGACAGAATAACAATCATAGCACCGATCGAAAGTGCGCTTATAAGCAGCGAAAATATCTCCAACGCCCAAGACTTGAGTACGCTGAGAGGCTGATGAAGCGACCGTGGAGTCCCTGCGCCTCCGCCAGACGGATTCAAATCGCGGGTAGACTTTGTTGTAACTGGAGCTATCCACACTCTCGCTGACTTCTTATCTTCGACAGATGTACTGCTGCTAGATACGAGTGGTTCATTACAGCCCTCATTGTTGTTTGGTATACTATGAGGATTGGTGAAATGTCTTTCGGCTGTATTATCCGGTGCGTTATGATTTCCGTACATAGTGGGGGATGTGAGACTCTCTAACAAGCCGCAATAATGCACTTGCTTTACCGGGAGGCTCTAAATTGGGTGAATATCGAACGGGGTGTCAGGTAGGGACGTTTTTCATTTGTCCGCCTTTCAATGGGGCAGGCTGAGTTAAGTAGTCTCAGCTAGGACCGAATAACCGCCAGAAAAGGTGGTGGCCTAAACGGCTGCATCACAGCCAAGCAGCCCCGCGCTAAAAATAGGCAAACCACAGGTTTTGGCCCCAATCACTCATGATTCTGATACAAGATCCCTGATGATTCTCCGCTGAGCGAAATTTTCATCCATAGTGCAACTCTACTTAGCATTTTTGCTGATCGTTCTTCATGTGTAGATGATTGATTGTTGATATAGGTAGGTTGCACGAGCATTCATTGATACAGTTCTTGTCTAAAATCTAAGTCAAAGCTTTGATGATCATCTTGTCGTCCCTAGCCTGCTTATCCACTCGAATCCAGTTCACCCCTAATGCAAGAAGAATATTCATTCCTGCTGCTACGTGAATTACATCCTCCCGATGCACCTTGGACCACTGGCCTTTTTGTGACATGGTTGCCACTAGATTGCCATCGAGCAGGATACCCTTATCTTGACCCAAGATCTTGTTTTGAATGAGAAAGTTCTGCGGGGCTTCCGGAGTAGAAAATTAAGAATCAAGCGTAAGATCTGCATTGCAGGGTTATTATGTGATACAGGCAATTCTGTTAGCAAGCTAAAGTGATTGTTTTAGTCATAAAAGTACACATACTGTACTCCGTCGCTCCAAGTCCGCCCAAACCCTAATGTAATCTTAGATGCCATATTTGGTTGCCATCTTCTCTAAAGTCGCGGTATTCCGATGCCCGGCCGCTCCATATATGCGTTTCTTTCACTATTCGCATCACCTCCTTTTCATTCATCATTTTAAAGCTCAAGTTCTTTGGTGAGATTTCGGAAATCTCAAGGAATAGGGTGACCGGACTACCCTATCCTCAATCCCTAACAGAATTAAGGTCGATTTCGACCTTAATCCTAAATTTCTTAGCGAGTTTACAGACCTTAGTTCTATATATATTAAGTTGCTGGCTTCGCCATCAAAAGTGCTTGAAAATTGGCCCGTGCGTAAGAAATCTTACCTCAAAAGTGCCCATTTAAACCTACAAAGAAGGGTTAAATATAACCTTAAAAGCGTTCTACCCTTAAAAGTGCCGACTTAAAGCTGCAAAGTAGAGTTCAAAATAACCTCAAAAGTGTTCTACCCTCATAAGGCCCATAAACTGGCAGACCCCCCCGCAGCCCCCGTATACTATGTCCCTAAAGCGTACCACTAAGGTAGGGTTAGGTTGCCCCCAGGGGCGAAAATGGAAGCTGCCCCCGGGGGCAAAGCATAGAAGGCTAGCTAGGAACACTTAGTGGAGGCCTA